CAGCCTCCGGTATAGCATGGCTTGGGTGAAGTATTGGCCCCCCCTCATAAAAGGACTTACCCTTGCGGGCTAACCACATGGCCCCAGGGCCTGTCACCCACTCTTCGACAGCCTCCGGAATGATCGAAACCATCCATTCCTTGTGGCCCTCGGTTCTCCAGCCCCCGGCCTTGAAGGCGTCAATGGCACCCTTCGCCGCTTCGGCTGCTGCATCCCTCTTGGCAACCTCGGCGGCCTCAGCAGCGGCCTTGGCAGCATTGGCGGCAACCTTCTCAGCTTCTGCTCTGCCCTCGGCCCGAGCTTCCTGCCTCGCAGCCTCCAGCTTCTGCTCTGCCTGCCGAAGGGCCTCTTCCAATACAGCAAGCTGCCTGATGGCCTCAGTATTGTTAGCAATGAGCTTCCTCGTCACCTCGTCAGACTTCGCCTTCTCAAGGCGGTGCTGCTCCGCCCTGCGGACAAGTTCCCCGAAGGCCAAGCTAGCCTGCAAGCAAACAAGGGCACACATGGGATCAGATTATGCAAGAGAAAAGGAACGCAATAACGGAAGATCCTAAAGGTCAAAATACTTACAGTGGCCGAGGCCTGAAGAGTCTTGAGCTCGAGGGCTTCATCCCCGAACCGGCTGAGGGTGGACCGATCCACCGAGGGAGTAGCACCCCTCAAGAATTCCCTCGGGTCGAGGGTGCCATGCATGATGGCTGTCCCCTTCTTGATGGGGAAATGTACCGTTTCAAGGGGCCAGGCCCCCTCGACAATGTCCTCCAGGGGAGCGGAGGCCGACAGCTGGTCGGTTGGGGGATCGTCAATAATCACCAAGGGGGTATCCTTCGGCTCAACGTCCCCCTTCGATTTTTTCCTTTTCGGAGGCTTGACGCCCTTCCCGGCGTTTTTTCGCTTGAGCTCCCCCTCCTTGGAGCCTCCGGCATCAGTACCGGCACCAGCAATTGCAGCCCCCTTTGGGGGCCCTTGACCCTCGGGGGCCTCCTGCTTCTTGGAGAGGGCGTCCACCTGCGGCTGTGCCGGAGGCCTCTCCTCCTTCTTCTTTTTGTCCTTGGCCAATTGCCGGGACAGCTTGGAGAACGCTTTTGGGTCCATAAAATCGCCTGCAAAAGAACAGCAAGGAAGGAGTTAGAATCAAAAGCAAATCAAAGACTTACATCTCTAAGTACTAACAACGAGGGCCCTCGGCAACAACCTCTAATACCCGGAGAGCCCCGGTCAAGGAGGGGATATCTCTCATCCTTTTCCCCCGGCAAGCGATACCGTTGGAATTCTAGCTTGAGCAACTCCTCCGGAAGGGTGGCGGCCTTGATAGTCATCAGCTTTTCTGAACCGGGTGGCTTCGCTTTTAGCTTTTTCCCGTCGGCCTCAAGAGCAGCATTGCCCACCTTGGGGTGTCTCCGAAAGTGGTTGCGAAGGGGCCTCGGGAAGGTGGCTCCCGGCATCCTGAGGTAACAGAAGCGGTCCTTCCATCCCTTGTGGGACGAAGGCACCTCCGAGAAGAGTCTCCATGCCGGCACCTGCTAGAGATTTGCAAAGCCCTCACTATTGGCGCCCCCCCCCCCCCCCCCCCCCCCGGCAGAGATTGAAAGATAGGAAGAATTGGTCCAATGTGGGAACAACCCCTCGGCTCCGGCATTGCGAGAGGAACCCGGTGATGTAAGAGTGACTGTTCGGAGTCAGCTGGCAGGGGGGCGAGACCCACGAACCGGAGATACTCTACCAGGAAAGGATGGAGCGGGAACCGGAGACCCAACTCCACCGAAAGCATGTGGACAGCATAGCACCCCTCCGGAGGATGCAGCAGCACGTCGTCGGGCCCTGGCACTACCACCTGTGCCGAAGGACCAACCAATAATTGAGTCTTGAGGAACTCCGCCTCTCCCGCCGACGTCTTCAACTCAAGTGCAGCCGTGTTGAGATATGAGTGCCCTTCGGGAATTCCAACCGGCTGCCCTGCATCCACCGCAGCCTGTTTCTTCTTCGGGGCAGCATTTTGTTTCTTTCTCTTCTTCCCGGAGGCTACCCGGAGGGGGACATCGTCAATAGGCCGGGAGCTACTCGCTTCACCGGCATTTCGCGGAGGGGGGACGGCAACCGTGACTGCCTGCCTCTCTTTCTCCTCTTCCTCTTCGGCGATTTGGAGAGCGAGGGCCATCTCCTCATCTGCCACCACCTGTTCGAATTCCTCCGCCTCCAGCTCAGCGCGGAGTTGGCCTTGGACCTCTTCAGCTACCGCGGCGTCGTTTCCTGCCGATGGCTGCTCACTGGAGGATCCCAGACTCGAATAGCTCTCAGATTGCGCCGGGGCCTCCTCCGATATGTTCTGTGAGTCGCTGCCGGAAGACATCTTGATGAAGGAGAAGGGAAAATATCTAGGTGTTTTGACCGAAGGCCCCTAAGGTCACTAAAAATAAGCCTAAGGAGCTAGCAAAGTATGCTAAGAGAGTCGGAGGGCTGAGGAAATACTGACCTCAAAATTCGGTTTGGATCGAGGGTGAGACTTTCTCTCTCTAGAAATTTCAGCAGAGCTTCGCTTCAATTCTAAGACGCGCAGAGGAATGAGCTCAAACTCAGGGTATTTATAGGCAACTGGGCCTCGAGAATTGGGCTTCAATTCAAAAAGCCCATCATTATGGGCCGCCGGTTCAACCAATGGGTAGCACCCGCCCCCATCTGCCAACGACAGAGCGCCACGTGGAAACCTCTTCCAACGGCTATATCACAACGGCTCTATTTGGGAACCCTTGAGGCAACTTCAGGCGGTAGCCTCCGGCTGCTACTGAGTAGAGCCTCCGGTGAGCACACATCACCAAGTACCTTCGAACAAGCCGCAATACAGCCTTCGGCTTATCAACATTACAACCCCCCGGGAGTTCATCAACACATCTACTCCTTTTCCCTCAAGTACCTTTCGGCAAAAGGAGTGAGGGACTCCGGGATACACCCCTCGGGAATCACACAGAACAAAATTTCCCCAAGCGAAAATCCACGATTGACGCATATAGCCCCCGAGCAAAACATCAAAGGGAAACCCCTCGGGTACATACTTCAATGTACCCTTCGGCAGCAGCAGTACATCAAAAATTTTCCAAGACACTCACGGAAATAAAGCAGCCCTCATCACAACACATGCAGGCAATACATCTATGCTTTCCCCAGAAAACCCTCGACATGTGAGGGACTGAGGAAAGCCTTCTGCAGTCATACAGGTGTTATACTGCCCTCAGAAAGCCCTCGACATGTGAGGGACTGAGGGGAGCCCCCGGCGAACATGCGAAGGTTATGAATACCTTCCCTCAGAAAACCCTCGACATGTGAGGGACTGAGGGAAGCCTTCGGCAATCAGCAGAAAACAAGTTCCCCAGCAAAGGCACCCAGCGAAATGATGAAGCCTCCAGAAGAATCAACACATCTACTCCTTTTCCCTCAAGTACCTTTCGACAAAAGGAGTGAGGGACTCCTGATGGAGTATATGGCCCGGGAACCCCCGGCCCATAGACTCCTACTTCTCCTACACAAGTCCATTGAGCCCAGAGAACAACTCAGGCCCAAGTGTAACGGCCCAAACCTCGAAATAGCTCGGAATACGCACTGGGATGCCTTCGGCCTCCTTCGCCGAAGGCTCCAGAACTCACAGGATAGCCTTTTCGGCATAAGAAGCTACTGGGAGAAAACGGCGAAAAACATGAGCCTTCGGCACTATCAAGCCCTCGGCACTATCACATCATGCCTTCGGCCGCACAGGGGTCCTCGATTACATGGAGCCCTCGGCTACACAAGGAGCCTTCGGCCAAACACGCTCAATCATCGGAGATTCCTTTTAGAGACAGCCAACCACCGCATTTAATGCCACGTCACATCCACCAACCGCATTCAATGCGGTAAACGTACCACTGCCGTTGCCAACCGGTTGATGTGACCTTTCGGCCGTTGGATTACTGACACGTGTCCTCTCATCGCATTTATTGCTGCTATAAATAGCAGCCCATTTCTCCTTGTAAATCATCATCTACATCCCAACTCCACACGCTGAGTTCATTTAATATAATCGACTCTCTCTCCTCCTATTTGCTCTGACTTCTCTCTAGTTATTCCCGCAATAACCCCTCGGATAAGATACCCCCCGGGTAGACTATCCATCAGAAGGTGTTAACCACATTCGTTGACTCCAATCGTTCAAGAGAAGCCGGCAAAGCTGTCCGCCACATATACTCATATCCATAATTACATCCATATGAGAAAAAGGTTAACTCTTAGATGGAAAAATGTAGAAGTTGGAAAATCCGACTTCACCAAATAATCATTATTGTCTTGAGTTTAATGAAAGTATTCTTCGTAGTTACTAAAACAAGAAGTAGGTTAGGAAAATACTCATCAGTGATTTATAGTAATGTGATCATCAACCGAGGCGATGAAAATATAATTGTTGCCTAGATGAGGTTGTTAAATTATTCATTCTAAAAAGTGCATATCATTCTAATTGGGGTGACAGGTTAATTCTTCCTTGGAAAGAACCGAATAGTTGCTTGCCTGCTTGCTCCATAGAGGCGTGATCCCTTTACGATACTCAAGGAGTTTGCGGATTTATAGATATTGTTAACGGGTGAGGAAGGAAACTGCCATTAGGTTATTATCGACATAGTGTACCGGTGGGCTTTAATTCAGGATATCTACCTTATTTTTACTAATCCATAACATTAACTTAAGGACATCTATTTAATTGTGTATATACATTCATTTTTCTCTTTATATAATTTAAGTCGGACTTTTATTGTTGAATCACGTGTTGAATATGCATCTAATTTAGAGCTTGCAATCGAATTGGAAATAACTTTTTTTTACCATTTTTCAATACTTAAATTCATAACTAAAAACGAAATGATAGATGGCCCATTGTCCAACATCATTTGCAAATTGGGCTACTGATTTGCCGAATCTATGTCCATCAGTAAATCCAAGAAGGGGCCCCATCCAGTAAACCCAATTTACGTGTATTACGCCAATTTACGATGTACATAAAAATAGCCCAATTTACGTAAAAACTGCAGTAAATCCATTAATCTTCTACTCCGTAGAGCAAAATTACGATTAGGGTTTTTGGATCGCAGCTGCTCTTGATCCGAATTTTCAGCAACCATGGTTCTCAAGTAAACACATTTCTCCTTCATTTCCCTCTGATGGTTGTACCTTTTTAGGGTTGTTTTGCTTGGCTGTGTATTAGGCCTTTAGTGCTGCCTTAGTATATATGTTTCTGATTTGCAGCTCTTGCCATGGAGTTTTGTCTAACTATTTCTTATGACTGTTTATGTCTTTGTTCTTGATTGAAATGCGTGATGAAGCAAGTTGATTTGTTACAACTTGAAGCATTATTAGTAAGTTGAATGCTGTAAGATTTCCATTAGTTGTTTCTCCCTGTATCATGCTTTTATCCCTGGTACTGGTTGCCATTTTTATCTAATCCTTTTTTCCTAAACCGTTCACACTACATTTCTGGCTGTATGATGTTTTCTTCAAAAAAACAATTAAAGACTTCATTGTCCTTCAATTGTCAATCTTTCTAAAGTTGTCCAAATTTTTTCTTAGATGTGTTGATGAAAATAAACTCTGATTCTAGATGTTGTCTACCTACATTGAATCCTTTCTTGACTTAACTATCGATTGAACTTAATTGGTTTGGTCACTTGACTGCAACATGCTTTGTGTTTTTGTGGCTATTATATTTTGCCTAAACAAAAAACTGTATTTCTAGAAGAGAATGTGGCTAGTTTATTGCATTACGAGAAGGTCCAAATAATGATGTTTAGTAGTCTGAAACACCTGTTTCCAATATAAGACTATATTTAATACTAACAGAAACCTTCTGCATATGTAAAAAGTGAAAGCGATTCAACATTTATTGTGTGGGGTTTGAATTATGTTTTCAATCATCTTCAATTATAAAGTCATTTAAACTAATCCTGATTGTTTATATTATGGCTAGAATATGCTAAGCACTAAAAGACCAACATTTAGACGTTCTTTAGTCAGTTGTGCCCCAAGTATATACTATGTATAATATACTAAAATCTAATCGGTCAAAATCTCAACAATCTGCACTTGACTCAATAATAAGCTCATAAAGGTTGTTAAATCTTTTCAACTCGATAATTACAATATTAATTTGAACTAGCAACATTATACCAAATAATCTATTAGAAATATTATTTCTATATCAATTATGACTATAACCATTGGGCCTTCAATGATTTTAGACGGCACATTCCCTTAAAGCTGCCTGATATATACCTGAAAACATTTGAAAGGTAGTGGAAAGGAAAGAGTCCTGTTAATGCTTCCAAATGATCAATAATCAAAGAATGTGTATGGGGTGGACAAGTTCCCCCAAACGATGATTTCATTAAATATCATTTATTATTAAATTAGAATCTGCTGAAATATTATCTGCACAGTGCCAGACACTACCCATAATATGCTCCAGGAAATCTCACCTTCCTTCCTCCATAATAATGGAGTATATGGCTTGCTGTGGCACCCCTGTTTATGCAATGAATTGTTTCCAAAATCCCTTTTCTTGTTGAGAGCTGTTTAATATCAAGTCTAGTTTTATTTTTTCAAGCATCCAGTGTGGTCCTTATAGGTTGCTCAATTTTTCATCCTTCATTAAATTAGCTGTTGAATATTCCATATTATATAGGTGTAGCATTAATTTGAACTTGTGATTGCAGGACTGAACTTTGCCGCTTTAGTGGTGCCAAGATTTATCCTGGGAAAGGAATCAGATTTGTGCGTGCAGATTCTCAGGTTTGTCCCGGGAAAGGAACCAAAGCAACATCTTATTTTCTCTTTTTGTGGTTACTCTTATGAATAAGTGATTGTGTTTCGGTTGCATTCTGAATTCATATGCATTGTTTTAGGTTTTCCTGTTTGCACAATCAAAATGCAAGAGGTACTTTCATAACCGTTTGAAGCCTGCCAAGCTCACGTGGACTGCTGTGTACAGAAAACAGCACAAGAAGGTGAGGAACTGGGCATCCTTGTACAGGCTAGATTGTTTGATCAGTTTCTTCTGACTAAAGTCAGAACAATGGCATAATTTAATCATCTGCCTCAAGTTTTGTCCCCTAAAAAACCCTTCAATAAAAGTTAATAGATCGTTTTACAATATGTGTTCTGCACCTTGAGTTTTTAAAGCAAATTTCTTATCCCGTTATATCTAAATATGTTTTTGCTTCATAAGGTTTTATTTTGGTGGCACTTATAGGATCATGCCCAAGAGGCTGTTAAGAGGAAGAGACGCACCACAAAGAAGCCTTATTCTAGATCTATTGTGGGTGCAACCTTGGAGGTAATCCAGAAGAAAAGAGCCGAAAAGCCAGAAGTCCGTGATGCCGCAAGGGAGTCTGCTCTCCGGTGCGTATATCCTAGTTCTCCCACTTATCCATTTGGATGTAGCGGTCGGGAGTGAAATCTATTATTGGCTTAGTTTTATATCTTCAATTAAGCCCTCAGAAGACATCCCTTTTGTCCAAACAGATCTTATGTGACATTCCTATGATTTTGAGCCAGGGCTGCAATTTTTTTTTTAAGTCTTGTTGTTATTCTGGTGGTGTGCTTGTGTACCTAACAGTGGCCTTGTTTGATTCAGTGAAATTAAGGAAAGGATAAAAAAGACAAAAGATGAAAAGAAGGCAAAGAAGGCAGAAGTGATGGCCAAGTCAAATAAGGCAGGGAAGGTCCCCAGAAGTGCTACACAGGCTAAGGGTCCTAAGATTGGAGGAGGCGGCGGAAAACGCTGAGCTAGGTGTTCTTTTTAGTTCGCTTACAGAAATATGAAGAATTACTTGGGGTTATTTTATGTTCATTTCATCACTTCAAAATTTTGATATTGGCCATAAACTCGTCACAGGTTGTCAGGCCTTTTGATTGCCACATTTAGAGCCCGTTTGGAGAACTCTGTTTTCGGCTTATCAGGCTTATCAGCCAGCTTTTTCACCAAACACGTAACTTTTACTTTCGCGCGCTGAATTGTGTAATAAGCCGAAAAAGTAAGGTTGGAGTTACTTTTCTGGCTGTATTGGCTGAAGTTACTGTAAAGGACCATTTTAGCTATTTTTACCTATAATTTTTTCTTTAATTTATTAATAAAATATATTTTTAAAATATTTTTTTCTTAAATCAGCAGAATCAGCCAAAACAGCCACTCCAGCCAGAATATCATAAATTTCAGCAGAATCAGCCAAAACAGCCGATTTTGGTGCTACCAAACGGGCTCTTAGCTATTTGTCTTTCTGCCGCCCTGCATTGAACATGAATTTCGTTATTCAACAGAAAAAAGAATTATATAATCTGTATAGTGGCCATTTCTTAAAGATGCCTTAACCCTGTTATTTCTATTTACATCCCAACCTAGTTCAGTTTACCTTGCACCAACCGAGGTTGATTCTGTACCAGCTTATTCGACTTGTTAAATAAATAATACTCCGTGAGATCCATTGGATGATCCTTTCGGCTATAGCTTGATTGTATAAATATATAAAAAGTTAGGTTGACGGAAATTGAATTTATTGGAGATGCATATTCTAGTGTGTTTTCATGTATTTTTTTGGGGAAAGTTCTCAAAATAGGACTGTTATGTTTTTATTCCCAAAATAGGATTAATTATTGCCAAATTTGGAAAATACTGTCATGTTTGAAGTCTGGTATTGCCAAAACATGGCAGTAATTTGTTCTATTTTGGGAATAAAAACATGGAAGTCCTATTTCGGAATTTTCAAACTTTTTTAGTCCCATTTTGGGTAATATCCCATTTTTTTGTTAATAAAGAAACGTTATGCGCTTCCATTTAATAAATTTGATCGTTTCGGTCACCATTTTCAAGTATTTCAACAATTTGATCACATTTAGCCAATTTCAACATATGAAAGAGACTTCGAATACAATTTCACTAATCATGTCCATTTTGTAGAATTGTAGAAACCATACACCGAACTAAATTGAGTAAATGGTCAGTTTGGTACTAGAAAGTTTGGTACTAAAAGTTGTATAAAAGGGTCAAATAGGTTCTTATTGTCCGGCCGTCGCCATTTGTAGCGGTTCCCGGTAGAATTTTTTGATGAATTTTTTTGAGCATCTTATTCATTAAGTCTAGTTTATTTATACCAAATTTTAGCTAAAACTTCAATCGGAAAGACATTCAAATGAATTCTTGAAGATAATTGCGCAGTTATCTTCAAGAATTGATTTGAATGCCTTCTCGATTGAAGTTTTAGCTGAAATTTGGTATCAGGAAACTAGACTTAATGAATAAGATGTTCAAAAAATTTCGTCAAAAAATTCCACTGGGAACCGCCCCAAATGGCGACGGCCAGACAGAGCCTCCTATACAAAGACTTACCCTTTTTATGCAACTTCGAGTACCAAACTGACCCTTTACTCGAACTAAATTTATGGATGACTCCTTATTTTGGACTGAAATTTGCTGGTCTGGTCTGGTAAATGTCTCATCTCTGTGTACTTTATAATTATGGAAGTTTACGCTGATCTGATCTGAGACCGAAAACAATCCAAAAGAAAACATCCTCATACTTACATTTGCAATTAGGGGTGGACTCGGGCCGGTTCGGGCCCGGACGGGCCTCGGGCCAGGAAAGGGAGGCCCGAGCCCGAACCGCCGGTGGCCGGTTCCGGTCCCGGTTCCGGGCCAAACCGGGCCGGGCCGGACCGGGCCGAACCGGCCCATTTTTTTTTTTTTTTTTTGTTCTCCTATTTAATCCCCTACCCCTCCCCCTCAACCCCAAACCATCCCAAACCACCTCAAATGGCCCAAAATACCTAATCCAACCTAAAACTTAAAAAAATTTCAAAAAAAAAAAAATTAAAATCCGGCCCGGACCGGGCCCGAACCGGCCGGGCCGGTTCACCAAAACCTGGGCCCGAACCCGAACCGCCCAGCAGCCGGGCCGGGCCGAACCGAACCGGTGGACCCACCGGGCCCCGGGCCGGGCCGGGCCAAATAGTAACCGGGCCGGGCCGGTTCCGGGCCGCCCGGCCCGAGTCCAGCACTATTTGCAATCTTTATAATTAAAAAAAATCAAACTGCATAACCGGTTGATTATTACATAGGATATTTCTTCTCTTCGTGTATCTTAAAAAAATAATATGAATAAAATAAACTGTTTTTGTTTAGTCGTTCAATGATTGAAGTATGGTCTTATTGTAATATAATCAATCAGGTTTGGGTCTAGACCTCGACCCATTCAGACCTATGTCCAACACCACCTCTCACATCTTGACATAACTTGTGCTCCCTAGACTATAGAATAACAAATGAATATTCTGGATTAACTAAAATAATTAGTATGGACCTGTTTGATAACTTTGAAATTAGTTTTATTTGATTAAAATCTGGTCTAAATGATAGTTGAATCAAGAAAAATTATTGTTTAAATATATTTTACTAATAATATCAAGGACAATTATATGGGAAAAAAGCTAACTTTAATTGGGCAGAAAGTTTAAAATAGAAAACACATGATAACAGTGTATATAGATAGCAAGAAGAGAACAATATAAATACCCTAAAAGTGAAATGGTTGATTATACTGAGGTGGACAAGCATTGAAAGTGTGAAGATTATATTGGAGAGGGATTAAGAAGTATCACTTGCGCATTTTGTAAACCTCAATCACTGCACAAAATTATACGTAGCGTGACTAGCGTCATAACACATAGTCGCATACCTGATAGACGACTCGGATAAGGCTATTAGTAGGTTAGACTAACATATATGGGCATTATGTGGTGCTTTCAACATTCAAGCTCATTCGCGGCAGCTTCATGCTGATAAGTGATGAGGGATAGGATTTCATCACTTCCAAGTTCCACGTAACTGAGTAGTTACAATTATGCGTGTAGCAAAAAGAGTTCCCTTTTCAACTTTAAAGTACTTGAAGAGAACATTTATTTGGTATGACTGCATTATTATTATCTACGAGCATATGGACATCAAAACGGGGTTGCATGATTGCATCGATAGGTTTTCCCCATTACAATTTCACACTATACGTAAGATGGTAGTATTAACTTAGAAAACCTCGGATGATATTGCTTCAGTAGAGTGAGCACGCATATCGGCAGCTAGCTTTCTCAGTCCTCGAGTTCAATAATCTTGACCACTGATGCATCTCCGACCTTTTGGCATACCACTATCCGGTCGTGTGACTTCACAACCCCTGAGGCTTTCCCATGATCAAGTGCAACTTTTAGTACCGAGTCGTTTGTCGCATTTGTCGATTCGGCCTGCAAAACCAAACAAATAATAAACGTCTAAGCAAAAATGAATCACATACAAAAACGGGGATGGAAATGAGTGTGGCATGTATCAAGATTTGCAAGAAACATTACGGCAAATCTGTCCAATAGTAGACTTTTTTCACTTTTAGTTCTCTTACTATTGAGACTGACACTTTTAGTAACCTTTATATTTTTCACTTTTAAAATTTTAATTTGGTGATTATTGTGACGGCACTTGCAGTCCTCAAACAATTGCACCAAAATGCAAAGACACATAGTAAGAGTGACACTATCACAATTAAGTGTACTGTCAGAAAACAGGCAAAATTTCCAAATTGGTAAAAAAAAAGGGTGGTTTACCAAATTGGTAAAAACAGAACCTCCGGCAACATATTGATAAAAAATAAGCTCCGGCGACAAATTGGTTAAAAAACAAAGCACTGGTGACAAATTGGTCAATTTTTTGTGAGTGAGACACTTTTAGTCATCAACATTAGAATTCCTGACATTTAGACCCCAAAGTATCTTGAAGTTGACATTTTCAGTTCTAATTTGATTTAGTAATTTGGTAATTTGGCCTAAGAAAACAACCGAAAGACTGAAAGTGGAAACTCTCTTCTACATAATATTGCTCGATTTTTTTGGTACACTGAGAAAGATATTGCCTAATGAGTACGATTCAAATTTTGAAGGAAAAGGGGATGAAAGTGTGAAAAGCAAACTTACAGGATGTCGAGGATCAGCAAGCATGGGGAAAAGGCCACGAACAATCAGAGATTGCCTTGCCTAGCAACATGAGTAATGTTAATAGTTACAATATGAGTAAACTCGACTATAGGGATTAAGGTATGTATAGTTGATTAGTACACAAACAATATCTAATATATATTTAAAAGCTACTTGAAAAGAACAAGAGGGTTAAACACACAGCCGGAATAAAAAATAATTTGATTTTTAATTAAGCATGAAAATAGTTGGTTTCACTAATGAAACAAATGCTTTAGAAAATATTAATGAACTAGAATTTTTCACTTGTACTCCTCCAATTGGTACTCAGTCCTCTGATTTGGTTCTCTCATTCTTGAATTTTACCAGTTTCAGCCCTCTAACTATTGTGAATTGACCGTTTTGGTCTTGCTATTTTGGTAATGCACTTTTGATCTTTCGATTATTGTTACCCAACATAGACAACTATCAAAAGTGTCACGGTCACTACAAAACCAAAAGTGGAAACAGTCAAAGGCAGGGTACCAAAGGTATAATCGCCACAATAGTCAAAGGACCAAAAGTTTAAAAAAAAAAACTCAAATGAATTATTCAATGAAAATAGATTACTTGATCAAGGCAGAAAAGCAATGAAAGAATAACAGTATAACACCAACACACCAATTACAATGCCATAAAATAGAACACAAGCAGAGGCATGTACATATTTAGATGTAAATTCCTAACATTGTGGTCGTGGGTGTCAAAGGATTTAACCTCAAATGCACCGCTAAAACTCCACTTGAGTTGATTTGTCTTGAGGCGAGGAATGACAACTGATATCACAGGCATTGTTGGGCGATATTTTGCTATTAACCTGCATTTTAATGAGCACATAAAATATACGTAGTACCATACAGAAAAATAAAATATCCAAGTACTTTAGAAAATATGCAGATCATCATGTACCTTGCAGCCCTTCCAGATGAAGTGAAGCAAATAATCACAGAAGCTTTCACTTTGATGGCAGCACGTACCTACAAGAAAAGCCACTCAACTTTCTTATCGTCTTTTGAAAGATATGAACTAGTTGGATCATAACTTTTAAATCTATTTATTAGGTCAAATTGGGTCAAATCTGTTCTATAAATCTCTTCATACTCATCATAATACATAATAAGGACAATCGAATCATGAACTTCATATATAATCTGATCTTAGTTTAAATTGACTCCTGCATGTTTTAAAATTATCCATTGGTCAAATAGAGTCATATATGTCTTAAAATTCTTATCCAAACCTCGCATTTCTATTTATTCAGAGGGGGGTAGGGATCAACAGTTCAACACAATAAAAACACAAAATAAATATATTACCGCAGTGGAGGCAATTGATTCCAAGTGCGTCATAGGCTCCCCAACAAATCTGACAGTCTTCTTGAAGTACATATCTTGATTAAAAACCTTCTCTGACTGCAGAGAGAGCAGAAGTTAATCAATCAGGACATAAACAAAAAAAATGACAGAAATAGAGGATGAAACAGTCTGTTTATAATTAA